AATACATAGATTGTTGACTTGCACAGATTAAGTTACCTATTTATGCAAACCTGGTTGGAGATGGCAAAACTTTCCATCATGCCAATTCACTAGGGCAGAACTATGCCTGCTGGATTAAGATGTCACCAAAAAAGCAAAGAAAGTAGGAAAAGAGCAAATAATTGTTAAATTGCCATTTATGGAGTGCCCTGAAAGCGAGAGATTTGAACCAAAGTCCAATGACTTTCAAATCCATTACCTTTGAATAGTTAGTCATCTTCTCACACTAGTGCGCTTCAGCCTGAAGCTCAAGGGAAAGCTTTAGTTCCCTTAATGTGCTACAAGTCTGTTTAAGGTAAAGTCAGGTTCTCTTAATAGGGTTTCCAAATTGGCTTCTTCTGGAAAGGGCTATGAAGGATGGTGTGCACCTTGAAAGCACAAAGTCTTAAGTCCCCGTTCTCTATAGCTCATGGTCTGGGTCACCAAGGGCTGGATAGAAACATGGTCAGAAGTGCCTGATTAGGAACATCGTGCCAGGGCATCCTCCCCTTGGGAGTTCATATAAGTACTGTTCAGTATTTTTCCCAAAGCAAATTGCCCCACCTAGTTCACTCAGAAAAGAAATAATCTCTTCTGAAATATACATGGCCCTGGAATTTCCATTAAGGTACACTGAGCACCCATGTCGGATTGTCTGTTGATTTGGGTTGAATATGGAACAATGTTATAAAGCAGAAGCTGATTGGTCTTCTTCCTCTCCCAGCACTCTGAGAAACTGATTCCAGCTGAGGTTAAGCTTCTTCTAACTACGAAGTGGTTTTTAAGATGCTGAAAACTTGTTTTAAACCCTAGATTCCCAAAGAACTAGAGCCACTGGGACTTCAGTGAACTTCCTTGACGGGAAGTGACAGTGTTTATGGTGAACAAAATTAATTGTGTTTCTAACATATGAGGGTTGTCTTTCAACAGAAATTTGTTACATAATTAAATGATACATGTGCACTGCTTTCAGCCCATTCTGACTCACAGTGTCCCCACAGAGGTTTGCTGAGACTGTAAATCTTTAGAGGAGCACATCGCCTTATCTTTCCCCTGCAGAGGAGCTGCTGGGTTTAAACCCAGCAAGTTTAAAGTCTTCTCGCAAGAAGAGCAGCTACTGCCTAATCCTCAGTGTCACTGGGGCGCCTGAGGGAAATGGTAGAAACCATTTGGGTAGATGAGCTCTCTTATGCAGAGGGAAAGTAAAGATGGTGAAAGAGTGAGGGCTCAGCCCTGCAGAATATTCTTTGAGAAAATATGTAGGGTATCTATTAGAAGCTTCTCGGGGGTGGTCTGTTTTCAAACTCTTTCTAAAATTGTCTGCCAGAGATAATTCAGAGGCACTGACTTATTAACTAATATTCATTAATAACCAACTTCTAGATGGAAGAAAGAATGTATACTGATGATGGCAAAGAAAACTAATGAAAAATTTCAAGGGTGTTAGAAAATCCCTGTGTAAGGACAACATTGGGTAGATCAGTTGCATAAAAATAAGTGATTCAGAAACTGTCTTCACATAAAATTTCTTTTTCTAATCTACATAATTGTTACTTGCTGCTGAAAAAGAAGATTACAAAACTATTGGAAATATTAAGATAATTCTTATATTTGATACAATATTGAAGTTTTAAAAATAAGGAGCCTGACGGCTATCATAAGTTATTAACCAATCTAAAAAATGTGAAAGTCTTCATTTGTTATATATGAGTATAATGAATTGTAATAAATATAACATAAATGTGCCATCTTTATGTGAAGAAAACTTTAAAGTGACACAAACTTTAAAAGGACACAAAAGAAAATGCACGTATGAAAAGGTATATGTCTTGCTCTTGGAAGGGCTTCATAGCAAACAGTATCAATTCTGGATGGGAGATTGCTCCCCTCCATTTGCCCACCAAAAAAAAAATTAATTGCCTTCTGCAAGACTGATATGCCCTCCTTCTGCCATCCTGACTTGAAGGTCCAGTAAGATGTTTATCACTCTTATAGGAGTACCTGTTGATTTGGGGTGACCCCAGCACAATGTTGCATGGCAGCAACTGAATGGCTCTCCTCACATCTTGAAAACTGACCTCAGCCGAGGTGCAGTCTGTTTGTCTAGTGGTTTTTAAGGTGCGCAGATAGAGGGATGATCTATATAATTCATGGATTAGAGGCAGGCTGTCTACCTTGCTCTTTGGGGGATGGGATGAAAGAAGTGCATGCCCTCAGAGCAGAAGGCTGTCTTTTGGTTTTTGGTTTTATTCTTATAGTGGTGTACTCATAGAATATTTGTCCTTTTGTGATTGACTGGTTTCATTTAGCATACTTGTTTCTAGTGCCTTTTATATGATGAAGTGGTTCATGGTTTCATTATCATTTTTATGGATGTATAGTGTTCCATTGTGTATATCTACACCAGAATTTCTCTATCTACTCTTTTACTGATGGGAATTTTGATTGTTTCCAGCCTTTTGCTGTTGTAGATTGTGATGCTATAAACATAGGGGAGCATATGTCAGTTCATGGTTTTTCTCTTGCTTTCTTGGGGCATATGCCCAACAGGAGTATTTCTGGGTCATATGGTACTTCTGTTACCACTTGTATCAGATAGCCCTAGATAGCTTTCTATAACAGTTGTATATGTTTGCAATCCAAGCAGCCACAAAGAGGTGTCAACTAAGCCCCCGCAGAAGAAGCACACCAGCCTCAGTGATCCTAGGATTATAAATAATAAAATCCAAACCTGGAGCGAATGGTATCTGAGCTTAAATTGTAACACTTGGTTTGCAGAAGGCTATGGGAGCCCAAAATCTGTTTACCGGGTCCAACAAGGGATAAAGCCTCTAATGAACCCCCTCTGACCACAGACCAGGGAGGTGACTAGCTTTGCTATCATGTGAAATACAGTGGGTTTTGTTTTGTTTTCTGCATATAAGTTCCAGATTAGTTAAAACTATAGAGACAGTGACTACATTGATGGTTGTTTGGGGTGACATGACAGGAGAAATTGGGGGGAAATGGGAGCTGATAACACTGAGTACAAGGAGAAAGTGTTCTAAAATTGATTGTGGAGATGATTGTACAACTCTTTTTAATAAGATTGAACTATTGAATTGTATGTTCTGTGAGTTATATGCCAGTGAAACTGTTTTTAAAGTATCAGTTTCTTCTGTTAATCTATATTGTTATTAAAAATTCAATAAAATATGAATAAAATTGGGGGGCAGCAGTGACTTAGGAAGGTTAATTGGAGGATTGAATGAGAATTAAATTTATTAGGATAAACAGAAAAAATAATGAACAATAAAGTTATTAGTCAGCCTTATCAAAACAATGAGCCTATCATAAAAAAGAATGGAAATAATTAAACAAGTTCTTTTTCTTTATAAAAAGGAAAATAAGAATTTAACATATAATTAAGGTGGCAATATAGATAAGTTTAAAAACTTCGTTAATTGACGATGCCATGACAATGCATATGAATGATTAATACTATGTACTAACTTGGCTGGGCTAGGATGCCCAGTTTCTTGTCAGGTGCTCTTTGATAATGTACTGGCCCTTCATTTTGTGGAACATTGAGAATAGCCAATCAATTGAAAGAGGAGTTTCTTTGGTATTGCCTCCAATATGTATGACTTTGGTGGTATGACTTGCCTCCAATATGTCAACAGATGTTCTGGTAAAGCTTTCTCTTTATGTATTGAGTCTCCCACCTATCCTCTGGTTTTGCAGAAGCCTCCAGGCCACCTCCTGACCTATACATTGTGGATTCACCAGCCTCCTTCCACCCGCCCCCACTGCAGCTTTGGGCCCCCAGCTCATCTTCTCCTCCCTGCCTGGATCCTATCATCACCCTGCTGTGTGTCACCTTGTACCCTCCAGGGTTGAACTGGAACAATCACAGATGAGCTGAAGAACGTATCCTGTGCCCAGTTGGCTACCACCCTTCACATGAGCAGTCACCCTCAGGGCCTCCAGGCTGTGGGCCTGGGTGGACTCCTGGTACTTCAGGCTTAGCTGGAGACCCATGTGAGACTGACATTGTCAAAGGGATCGTGTGATAATTTTTTCAAAGTTGTCTTAAATGTAAAATGCTATATAATGAGATAGTTGTATAGTAAGGAATGGTATATATTGATTAATATGCTTTTATAAACACTGATTATTTTCAGATAAATTCACAAGTAACAATTAAAAGGGTGCATTCTGTCAAGAATGATGTGCGAAAGACAAAGATAAAATGAAAACTTTTCACAATATTCTATTTTATATGTTCTGAACTTTGTACTATGTGCATATATATGCATACATAAAATTAAAATGATACAATTCTTCAAACAAACATTAAGTGATTTATTGTTTTTTGTCAAAAGTTGACAATACTTCTAAACAAAACAGTTATGAAGAACATTGTGAAAGCAAAACTCCTTATATAGACAGTATATGAAGATGTATATATACACTTACACAGACATATGAATACACATGATGTCTAAGAGGTTTCTTCTTTTACTGTAACTCAACAATAAAATTATCATATAACCTGTATCTTGAACAATTCTTTTGGGATTTATATTTTCTGATTTACTGGTCATTGTGAAAAATGGCATAATTTATTTCTAGATATTGTTTCCAAATATTTTGAGAGAAAATGATTCAACAACCCCTTGCATATTAATTTTAAAACCATTATTTTCACTATTTTACAACCTTTTAAGTAAATAAAAAAATTGAAGCATAAATAAAATTTTACTTTTTTTTAGTAGCTCACAGGAGAATTACAGAATTATAGAGTTTCAGATAAAACAAAAGAGAACATAAGATTATGAAGCAAGTTATGATCTGCCTCCATTTTTTAAACATAAACTATTCTTAGTGTTAAATAGGACAAACTTTATGATAACAGTAACAAAGAGAGATATATTTTGTAAAATTCTCTTAACGTTTTCTAGTAGGAAATGCCTTTTGAGTTTTAATTTTGAGAAGCACTTTTATTTTTTTTCGAAAAGGAAATTATGCCCTGACTCTATAGTCACTTTATTTAAAGGATTTTGAAAAGGGAGATTATCTTCTTTAAGCAACGCTTCTAAATAACTGTCAATCTGTTCTGGATCAGCTGACGGATCGCCCTGGAAAAGAGAAGTAAGAATTATGGGAGGGAAAGATGCTACAGGCTGACTCCTGTAATCTGAGCAGCCTCGGAAAGGGCTTCCAGGTGATTTATGTAGCAACAAAACCCACTTTGCATTGGAATAATGCTTTTAACCTTTCAAAATGTTTTTGCATTTAACCTCATTTCATGCTCATACTTCATGCTTCTGTCCTTTTTTTCCCCTCTAGTAGAGGTTAGTTAAACTATTTTTTGTTTTTCCTTCTCTGTTTTATAATTATTTGTTAGCTTCCCAAACCACCCCAACCCCACCAAAAATGTCATTCTTTTTAATTACAGGTTCACATCTCCTTTTTTAAAATCAAGAATCTTTAGTTTTACTTGCAAAAAATAGAAACATAAGCCAAATTTGACTTCTCTGTTTCTCCTTTTTCCACATAAGCATTATGGTAATAACTTCTTTTATAAGAAGCAATAAACTAGTCTCTAGAAGATGGAAATTATAAAAGTCTCAAAAGCCCAACTCCTGTAAGATGCCAGTCGGCTCCACATTTCTCCCGCTCCTCCCTTGAGGATATTCCCTCAGGTCTCTGGGTTCTGGGAATTTCTACAGCGCTCATGACAGTTCAAAGAAATGTTGCATGCAGTGGGGAGTGCAGTTCAGTCCAAAGTCCAAAGGTCAAGCAGGTAGCCCAGATGCTAAAGCTAGTAGATGCACCCACTCACCTCCTGGCTCTTGTCAGTGATGAGATCACACCTCCTGCTTCTTAGTGAACTCATTTTATATGCAGCAGGATGGCCCTGCAGAAATCCTGTTCACAATTATTCACAGGTGAAGCCTACCCGTATTTTCCCCTACCTTCTTACCAGTCCCATGAAGAGAAAGGTCCTTTAGAGGACGTTATATGGTGCAATCAAATTTCACCCCAAAGAAATAACCTATTCTCCCCGCTTGACTATATCTTATTTATATACACACACCTGGGGGCCTCTGGAAAGATGTTCTCAGTAGGCATTGGCCTCCTACTAATCTTAATCAGCCAAACTTTTTTCCAGGCCACTCCAGAAACAGTTTTCTTTCTCCTCTCAGCTGTAGCATCTAATTCCTCACAGGCATTGCAAGCAATAGTAACTAAAATAACCATTAAGCAAGCAGTGTGATCCAATTAACACCCTCTACTAAGGTCAGAACTCAATCTCATCACATTCTTGTTTGTTAGAAGATAATGGCCTCCAAATGAAACCATGGCCACAGGCATATGAAATCCAGAATGATTATATATTACACACTACATAAGGGATTATGGCTCGAAGTATGACCTCTTTGGGGGTGGAATGGCCCATTCACAGGGGTCGCCCAATTCATAGCAGTAGCAAAATTACAGTTATGGAGTAGCAACAAAAATACGTTTATGGTTGGGGGGTCGCCCAGAGCTAAAAAATATAGAGAGTTACACGTATGATGCTTGCTAATTCAAGATTCCTGGTTGCATTCCAAGAACTCATGTAGTGCCTGAGGCACTCACAGAATAGAAAGAGGCAATGGAGAGAGAGGTCAAATGCATTTATCTGAAAATGACATTAATTGCTTGTATCAACATGTTTCTGGGATCATGGGATTTTTCTGAAGAAATATATCATTATTTAAATGACAAACATTTAAACCCAATATTTAAATGATAAACATTTAAATATAATTTAAATAAATTTAAATGATAAACATTTACATATTGGTGTGATAAAGAAATGTTGATGCGATGAGGAGATGTCTTTTAATAAGGCTGTTCCCAGACCTTGCTTGTCATTTGGACCCACTCTGCCCACTTCGCCACCCTCCCTATGAAAGGGTCGTGGCACTAGGAAGGTGGAGAGCCACTGCTGGGATGTGTCATGGGTGTAGAACGCTGTTTTTCTCCCTCAGAGTGGTTTGAATTGCTGACCTTGTGGTTAACAGCCCAATGAGTAGCCACTGCAGAAAGGTTCCTCACCCACTCAAAGGTGTTTTAAAAAGTTCATGGGAAAATGGAATTTTCCATGAGATTATTGAAGACTTTTCATTTTTATCTACCTATTATTTTTGTCATATTCCATCTAACATTTCTAAGTGCTATAGTAGAAGGCAGGCTATTCCTCAGGAGTTTAATATATTATAGAAACTAATTTTTGTATTGAAATATACCAACAAAACTGGGAATCAAACACACAGTGTTTTTCTGGCCTCTACAACCTCTCTTCTAAGATTAAAATGGACTGTTTTCGTATATGTATTAGTATAAAAAATAAAAGGTATTATTGTCTGTAAACAATTTTTAAAATGGATTCCCACTAGAAAGAAGCAATTGAAGAGATCATTTTACAATGGATATAGAGAACAACAAAAACTCCCAATTTTAAGGGAAAGTCAATATTTTTAGGATGCTCTTTTACATACTTTCAAGGTTCATTTTATTTTAAATTATGAGCATAAGCTGCACGAAGTGACTTGTCCAAGGTCAATAGTGAGGGTTAGGACAAGAAGCTAGTTGCTGCTTGCCCTAGCCTGACTCTTCAAATGCACCTGCATTGCTCACCAGGTGAAGTTTCTGTAGCAATGATGTCAGCTTTACACGAAGGTTCTTCAGTTTATCTTCTGTACGTTTTCTTTTCTCTTCACATTGTCTCAGAGAGACTTCATCAATCTCTTCTCTTCTGACTGCATCAGAGATAATGGACTGCATTTTGCTCTTTAGTTTTTTCTCATATTGGACCATGCACACATTTTGGATCTGAGGACATTTTTAAAAGCAGTTTTAGTGAATTTCTAAATTATTATTTTCCACGCATAGTACACAAAAGTCATTTCATTTCCCAATTCTATGTGTATATCCCAAGTGTCAACTCGGCGTGTAAATGTTACAGACAGTATATATTTAAGACATGTTGATGCCCTACGGAAATTACAATCTAATTGAGGGTGGGACAGGAGAAAAACATGTGCGATAGTCTAGTAACTATGAGGAGGTTTTGATGGGAACAATGTAATTAAATACTGGAATTTTCCACAATGTTTGAAGCCCCATCTGCATAATCATAAGGGAGACAGAGACCCACCAAGGCAGATCACAGGCATTTCCTTTGGAAGGAAGCGAAGTAATCTAGTAGGTGTTGGACCTGTTCTCCCACTAGTGATGCAGATTAGTCAAAGCACAAAAGAAGCAGTTGTTTGTGACCTGTTTTCGGAAGCACCAACTAGCCACGGGTATTGACTGGCTTTGGGAGGCGCGGGGCAGACAATGTCAATTACATATCACCCAAGCCTGAAGCAGCTGGATGGATGCACAGACACTACAGTGAGAGTGATTCCCTTCCCTGTTACCTCTTCAGGTTCCTTGCCCTGAGGTAAAGAATATAGAGAGTTACATGTACGATGCTTGCTAATTCAAGATTCCTGGTTGCATTCCAAGATCTCACGTAGTGTCTGAGGCACTCACAAAATAGAAAGAGGCAATGGAGAGGTCAAAGGCATTTATCTGAAGATGCCATGAATTGCTTGTATCAACATGTTTCTGGGATCATGGGATTTTTCTGAAGAACTAGATCACTGGGATAAACATTTAAATACTGATGGGATAAAGAAATGTTGATGTGATAAGGAGACGTCTTTTAATATGGCTGAGTTCCAGGTCTCACTTGCCATTTGGACCCACTCTGCCCATTTTGCTGCCCTCCACTGTACTCAGGCCTTCCCATACATTGCCCACATATCTTTAGGCACATATTAGCCTTATATATTTCTCCTTTTTCTATGTAATCTGTTAAATAAGCAAACCAATCATATACATAATAAATTCTCTTTAATAAAAAGTATATGGCAAACTCAAAGCACTGAACGGAATTATACACTAGGCTACTACAAAAAGTTCATGGAAATTTTAGATGAAAAGATAATGGAATTTTCCACCAACTCTTTGAAGCCCCCTTGTATAAAGCTATGGTTTTTTGTCTTCAGGCAGTTCTAGTCTATAGGAGGAGACAGTGCTAGGTGTACAAATATGATATATTGTTGTAGAAAGTCTATGTGTACCTATGAAAGGCACAGAGGCAATGAGAATATAGAGAAGGGTGCATATTCTCCACAAAAATAAAGAGACTTATTGCCTTGAGCTAGCATTGTTAACTTGAATTCATTTATTTTTTCACTGCACGTTTAATAGAGAGGAATCTTTGAGGTCGGGGCACAAAGAACGCTCCATATTGCCAAACTTTGGTCTTATATATATAATTAATTAAATCTGTTAAAGGTCAGCTAATTAGGAAGCATGTCGATAGACTTGTAAATGGCTTTTAAAAAATTATATATTTAGAATCTTTTAGAACGTTTTACTGTGAAATGTGCTGGGGTTCATAGAGCAAATCAGTTTTTCATCCAACGATCTGCACACATTTTGTTCCATGCCATTTCTTTTCATCTCTGCATGGTACCATCACTCATCCTACTTGCTCCCTGTTCCCAATTTCTATTCCTCCTTCTTTGCCAAACCTTTGTAGTTGGACAAATGTTGCCCTTTCTGATCCAAAACTATCCTAAGGCATGTGTACCTCCCTAGTACTACTATGTTTCATCTTATAGACTTGTCTATTATTTGGATTAAAACTGAGCCATGGGGGTAAGCTCACTCCTATACAACTAATTATTTAATAGCACATGTCATTATATTTAGCTTTATGGTTTTTATCTATCGTTATGTAATATATCATGTTTTGTTTAAGCATTTATTTTCTGTCTCCCACGCTACAATGTAAGCTCTATGAGAGTAAGGATTTGGTCTTGTTCACTGTTGTATTTCCAGGGCTCGACACATCGCACTGAATAATGGGGTGTTGACAGTGTTGTTGAGATGCCATCGAGTCGGTCTGGCTCATAGCGACCCTATGTACAACAGAAATAAACACCACCCAAGCCTGCACGCACCTCACAATTGCTACTCTGTGGGAGCTCACTGCTGCAGCCACTGAGTCCCTCCTTGTCGAGGGCCTTCCTCTACTTTACCAAGCGTGATGTCCTTCTCCGGGATCTGCTGGTCCCCCCTGATGGTATGTCCATAGCACAGGAGATAAAGCTTCCCCATCTCTGCCTCTGAGGAGCCTTCTGGCTCTGCTTCTTCCAGGACAGATCTGTTTGTTCTTTTGGCAGCCCGCAGTCGCCCTCATTCAATGTCCAACTTTTACAGGCATATTCGTCAATGGAAAACACCGTAGCTTGAGTTCTCAGAGTAACTTCCTTGCCTTGTAACACTTTAAAGAGGTCCCGGGTGGCAGATTTACCCAGTGCCATGCATCTTTGATCCCTTGACTGCTGTTTCCATGAGCATTGATTGTGGATCCAAGAAAGACAAAATCCTCGACAACTCCAACCTTTATTCCATTTACTATGATGTTCTCTATTGGTCCAGGTGTTAGGATTTTGAAGGCTAAAATTTTGTGAGGATTTTGAAAGCTCGATTGAAAGCTACAATCCTTGATATTCATCAAGTGCTTCAAGTCCTCCTTACTGCCAGCAAGCAATTTGTAGCTTATGAATGTCTTATGTGGTTTGCTAAGAAGCCTTCCTCCCATCCTGATGCCACATTCTTCTTCATATAATTCATCTTCTCTGGCTATTTGCTCAGCACACAGATGGACTAAGTCTAGTGAGAGGATACAACCTTGAGGCAACCCTTTCTTGATTTTAAACCATGAAGTGTGCTTTTTTTCTATTCTCCTAATGCCTCTTGGAATCTGCACAGGTTCCTGTGAGGACACTTTAGTGTCCCATTCTTCTCAAGGTTATCCAGCGTTTGTCATGACTCACTCAATTTGAATGCCTCGGCATAGCTAATGAATCACAGGGAAACATTCTTCTGGTA